CTTACATACCTGGAAGAACAAAGTTCTTATATAGCGAAATTGACGAAGCTCGAAGAACGCTCGAAACCCTAGTTTTTCTCCTCTTGGAACCTTTCTCTAATGACTTGAAGTGTTAATGAATGTAAAAGAACTGAGTAACACTTTCAAAGCCCTTAATCAGGTGAAAACATCGTGGTTTAGTCTTAGAATAGGGGTAAAACGACATATGAGAAAGACCAAAATGACCCCATCTAAAAAAATGACAGAGTGCCTTAAAATGAAGGCTTCACGGACCGTTTAGGGCTCCACGATTCGTGAAACACTTCATCGGTCATATAGCCATCCGTGAAACTTCGACTGTCTTACATAACCTTACTAAAACGAGAATAACTTTTTACTTCGAACTCAAAATGGAGCAAATTTGGTGGCGTTTGAAAGAGGACTCATAGACCTTTAATTTAATTATGCATTAGTTTTTATTTTAAATTTTTAAGTTATTCCTTCTAGCATAAAATTATGAATAAAGTCCTTATATGATATTAAGGATCCTAAAAATTCCATAAAATGAGATTTTCAAGCATACGAACCGCTCAAGAAAGGTTAATGGAGCTGAGACTTCATGCATGAAATTAGTATGATCATGTAAATCCTTAATTTGATAAAAAAAATTGACTAATTTTAAGTAAATAGTTAGACCTTCAAAAGGGTAGAATTAGATGGGATCGAACACCCAAGACCTTCGTATGAGAAAATAGATGATTAAAGTGTTATTATATTTTGTTTGTCTTAGACTTTGAACATTTTGAGGCGGTTAAAAAAGGGAAGGTTCAAATGATTTAACTTTGATTGAAGTAAATTACGATTTACTTAGACTTAGACTTTGCTTAGTTTCTGATATGTAATATGGGTTGTATTAGATGTTAATTGTCCTTCGAACATAGTTTGTGTTTGGTTATGATTGAGTTGATGAATACTCGCACGAATAAACATGTGAATCGTTGAATTGACTATGATGTTATGAATTGTGAACTTGTGATTATCTTATACTTAATGTATTATTTTGGGAGATAATTATAGAAGTTGACATATTGAGATACGCGGATACGATAAAAATACATTATGTAGTTTGATAATAAGTAATTGAGTCTGATGTAAGCTCACATAAGCTCACAGACGATCGGTTATTTGTGTAGTTAGATCGTGTACTACATCAGTACGTTACATGGACACCTAGGGTCCTTCGCAGTTCATGACTAGATAGGCAAGATTAAGACTCTTTGACATATGTGTATAGATGAGAGTGAAACTTATGATTTCTGAGAAAGTGTAGAGATTGCTGATAGGATGCAGAGATTGTACAACTGTAAGGTCAGGATGATGATTTTCATGATTCTATTGATTTATTTGTATTTCGACAAGTGTGTTGAGAAGGGAACAAACCTATATTTATATAAATATATACACTTATATACACAAAGTGTTGGTTTGATTGTTGTGTACTTGAGAAATATTCAGTGAGTGATAATTTTATGATATGCTAGAAGGATGACGTGTAGTTATATTTATATACATACAAATATGTTAGTGACTTATGATGACTCCAATGATTTGTAATTCTATTCTTTGACTATGTGTAATGAATCTGTTTACTCTCTTTATAATTGTAGTTATATACTTGTTATTAATTTTAGTCGGTCTATGATACCTATGAACACATAATGTTTGTATTGATGTTACTCCTACACTTTTTTTAAGTGCACACTGTTTTGATTCTAATATTATTTAGGTACTTAGATATTGCATGAGTTAGCTGTTAAGCTTTGATTCGGCAATAGGAAGGCTGGTGTGGGTAAATTTTCTCCTAAATTTCAACTTCCAAAGTTCACTGATCGAAAAACCAAAGTTCCAACTAGAGCCGTAAAAATGGACTTAGTCCATGGAACCGGCCTAACCCAACCCGTTATTGGGGTAGGGTTAGAATAGAATTTTTCAAGTCCATTTAAAACTAAGGCTTATAAGTCCGTCCCATATAAGCCTTTCACCCTTGAGACTTGATCTAGATCGGGCTGGGGTCGGTCCATGATCCAAAACTATTTATTTAATGGTAACTTATAGAAATCTCATTAGTGCATGAGCTAATTATTTAGATGCACGTTATGTTGTAATATTATGAATCTTACCAGATTTTGGTGCGTATAGTTACATGTATCTCGGGATACATAGACTAAAAATTAGGTGTAATTTATTCTAGATACACTCTATCCAAGTGGATTCGCATGTATCTAAGATACACAGACTAATCCCGCGCCCTCGCCTCCCTCCTATCTCGCTTGCGTATCTGGGATGGATCATACCAGATACATGTATCTCGCGTATCTAATATCCTAAATACATGCTTATCACACTAGATATTTTGCTAGTGTTATAGAATTTTAAGTTTAAAAAAAAAAAAAAAAAAACTAAGGGCTAGTCCGCCCCAGCCCGCGACACTTATAGGATTGAGTTGTGTTGAATATTTTTAGGCCCTTCCAAATGAAGGACCGACCCACCCAGCCCATTAAATTTCTTAGCCCGCGAGACTTGGCCGGGTGGAGTTGGTCTGACGCTTCTGACCACTCTAGTTCCAATGAAATAGAAGTCAAAGACCTAACTTTGATAAGATAAGCTTTATTGTTTATAGCATTTAGTTTCTAAAATCACTATGATTGTTTACCAAATTACAGGAGAGCGGTAAGTACATCAATTTTGTGTACTTTAAGCTTTTATGAGTATCCTTACTCAAAGAAATAAATAAATGAGTTTTTTTCTTTTAAAATTTTACAAATGTGTGTTGGGAATTATTTTACAAAAGCTTGAATTTAACTTTTTTTCATTTATTTATTTATTGAGGAAAAAATGAAGAGAGAGTGTTTTGAAGAAAGATTAAGATTATAAATAATTTAAAAAACAATAAATAAAGATATTATATATAGTCAAAAACTTAGATTCTCAAGGAAAAAGTAAAATGATTTGAAAAAACAAAGTATGTCTCAAGGAGCATCCAAGTTTATTGTACATAAGAAAAAATGTACTAAGAAATTAACTTTATTATAAAAAGTTGGTTAACATCACAATCAAGAAAGTAATATCTTTACATCGAAAAATTAGGAAGCATCGTAAAACATGAATTGGTATTTGGCACATCAAAACAACTATTTCTCCTACTAACATCAGTAATTATTTTTTAAAAGTTAATTTTGTATGTTGACTATCTTGGCATATTTGACATTAATTATCTCGAAGATAGAACAAAAAGATGAAAAAAACATATACATCTCCTGTAATTTATAGAGAAATATTAGTTAGCCCGCAAAATGGTATATTTAGATAGAGCATTTCTATCGGAAATAATGTTGAATATTATTGTTTGGAGACGACGACCACAATCGATTTCTCACAACTTGAATTTTATTATATTAAAGTAAGGACCCCCTTCGGTCTTACAATCTTGATCACACTTGTTGCTCGCTTCAGCAACACTCCTTATTTGAGCACGCACACTTGTTTGCTCTCTTGCTTTCTTACTTACTTGGTTACTTACTTACATATCAAATGAACCACCTCTATTTCTATTTATAGGAAGTGATGGAAGAATCTAGAGAGATACATATATACTACTCTCTTCTAGAATATTCTTAGCTATCTTTTTCTAGAACTACCTTTTCTAGAATATTTCTCTCTAGAATACTCATTCTAGAAATCTTCCTTCAATTCTCTACAACTCCGAAATATTCTAGATTTTTCTTGAATTATCTTAAGAAAATAATTAAGTTAACTAATCAACGAGTTAAATTGAGTCGTGTGACTTTGATTTTATAACAAATTTAACTATATCTTTTTTCCGGTAAACATTTTGTTTAGCGAGAGTAATATTAGAATGACGGACTCCATGGGAAGTCTTCATATTGTAGCCCTCCTTTTCAAAAATACGAATAAAATGACGTACACACTAATCTCTAAATTTTATTTGTGAAATTACATTAAATATATATATATATATTGATATTATTATTTAATGACGAATCGAAGATATATTGCAACAATTAAAAATAAGTACGTACAAGAAAATCAAACATGTGGGAATATTATAATGCATGACAGTACTGTTTATGTTGCTGTAGTCCCCACATGTTCCATTTTGAACATTCAAAAGCAAGTAAACTTAAAGGAATAAGAAGATATTCAAAAAGAAATAAAAAAGAGAATTTTTTTAACAAGGATGACAAATTTTTGAGTTAAAAAAATAATAGTAAAACATATGTAGTATTGTCTAAAAGGTCAAGACAATACATAACAACAATAACATATCTGATGTAATATATATAATACAAAAAAGAATTTAGAAAAAAATATTAATACCTACGTAACCTTATTTTTGCCATGTGAAGATAAAAGGTCAAGACAACACTATTTCCATAAAATATGAATTAATTAAATACTATCAGCCCTTCACTGCACACCCATGCACTAAACTAGCTCGATGTATATATTTAAAAGTGTTAAATGGATGGGTTGAATTATTTAATTCAAATTAACTTAATTTTAGATTGACTGATTTGATTTGTGTGCCCAAATTTAACCGCCATGAAAATATGTCTAGTTCAATCCAATTCATCTAAAGTTGATTGAGTTAGATGAGTAATATTCTATCATGCTCATTTACACAATTAAGAAAAAAAAAATTATTTATTTTTTAGATTTTTCCTTATTTACGTATCCTTAAAGAAGTTTTAGAATTACTCTAATTTTATTAAAGAAAATTTAGGGGCAGGGGAAGAGGATTACAAGGTGAGGAATCAAACCCTAATCAACAAAGTAAAAGTGCAGAAGTCAACTAACTAAGTTACTAAAATTCCGATCGATCTCCTTTTCTTCACCTTCTTTCTTGAGTTGGCTACTAATCAAGGGTTAGTTTCTTACCAAGTGTGTGCTTGTTATTATGCATCCAAACCTTGAATACATGTCTTTTGATGCCAATCTCATTACACAATTTGTTGAACAACTCCCTCATCATGCCTTTGAAGCTTCCACCCTAATTTCTCAGCCAATGTCAACATTTTGTCCTTGTGTTCTTGGCTAAATTTGCTTCGAAATCTCTTCTTTAGTAATGTACCATTAATGTTGTTATTAGGGCTACACATTTCTAATAATTCTTGATCCTCCCGGAATCCACCACCTGTTTAATTTTGAGAGAAGGTAGAGTAGAAGTCAGAGAAATTAATTAATAAGTATATATTATCCTGTCTTAATTTATATGAATTAATTTGACGTGTATGAGAATCAAAATGCTTAATATATAATATTTTAAGAAAAACTAATTAGTACATTTTTACAAATCACATGAAAAATATTATAGATTAACATAACTAGTAATTCAAAACCTTTTATAAAAGGATTGAGAAAATTGAATTTAAAGAAAAAAGGATTGAGATTTAAGTTACATATTTTTTTTAAAAAGAAGCTAATCTATATAACTAATTAATATTTCCTTCTCTCCAAATTTATGTGACAGATTTACCTTAATAAAGATTTTTTTTTTTTAAAACTCCCCTTAAACGACCCACATACATTTTTGCGACTATAATTACATCATCTTATTAAAAGAAAAAATACCAAATAAATTGGACAAATTAAGAAAGTATATCATTTCGATAAAGGGTGTGTTTGGTATGAAGGAAAATGTTTTCCATGGAAAATGTTTTCCTGGAAAACAAGTTGGTTTTTGACTTATTTTCTCACCCTCAACCAAATATTATCTAAAACACTCAATCTTGCTACGTACATTTTCATTGAAACAAAAAGACATTTAGTTACACACATATTTTATTATGTGATCTTAAAAAAAAAAACATTTTAGCTTAGTATGTCAAAGTACAAAGAGTGTCTCAAGAACCACACCGCTGGTATCGGCGGCCACGCCGTTGACGGCTGCGGCGAATTCATGCCTTCCGGTGAAAATGGTACCGTCGACGTCTTCAAATGCGCCGCCTGTAATTGCCACCGTAATTTTCACCGGAAAGAGACCGTCCACCACCACCACCCATGTGGGTACTCCCCATATATTATACCGCGGCAGATACCTCTAGCGTTACCGCTAACTTCTGGAGGTACAGGTAATAGTGTTCTCACTTACCCTCCAACGTGACTTGATCAAGGTGAAAGTGTCAACGCGTAATTTTATATGATACGTTAATTATTAGTAATAACTTTGGGTGTGTTTGGTATGAAGAAAAACATTTTCCGGAAAATGTTTTTCTTCATACCAAACACACCCAAAGTTATTACTAATAATTAACGTATCATATAAAATTACGCGTTGACACTTTCACCTTGATCAAGTCACGTTGGAGGGTAAGTGAGAACACTATTACCTGTACCTCCAGAAGTTAGCGGTAACGCTAGAGGTATCTGCCGCGGTATAATATATGGGGAGTACCCACATGGGTGGTGGTGGTGGACGGTCTCTTTCCGGTGAAAATTACGGTGGCAATTACAGGCGGCGCATTTGAAGACGTCGACGGTACCATTTTCACCGGAAGGCATGAATTCGCCGCAGCCGTCAACGGCGTGGCCGCCGATACCAGCGGTGTGGTTCTTGAGACACTCTTTGTACTTTGACATTTTAAACTAAAATGTTTGTTTTCAGTCACATAATAAAATGTGTGTAATTAAATATCTTTGGGATATTGAGTGTTTTAGATAATATTTGGTTGAGGTTGGAAAGGAAAAGAATATTTAAAGTTAAAGTTGAATATCTTAAAGGTTTGAAAACGCATTTGGTCATGATTTTCACTTGTAAATTATCACCTACCTACACTCTTTTTTGTTTCTATTGCTATACACTATTTAAAATAAGACATAATATAAAGATTCAAACTTTTAAAATTCATATTTAGATACATCAGTTCGTCTTTGTAGTAGTTTGTGGACATCTGACAACTGACGTGACACATAAGTGTTAGAGGTGTATAGATGATCGTTTTGTAAGTTAGAGTGTTCAAACTAGCATAGTAAAAAAAAGTCAAGGTGTTTAGATGTGGCATTCAGAGTGAGTTCAGTTGCTAGTTGTGACTAAGTTAGATTATCTATCTATATATTGTACTTTCTCGGGTTTTGGCACTAAAAATCCGACTTTCAATAGTCGATTTAGTTAAAAAAAATTATTTTAAAAACTATTTAGGCTAAGTTTTTGGTCGATTTTTGGCCTTGTTTTAAGTAGACTTGTTGGAATGTATGCGTCCACTAGCTACAATAGGACCAGGTCCTTAACACAGTCATGATAAACAAAAGAGAATACTGAAAGTAAAGATAGCACACACAATTTTACGTGGAAACCTCCTTGCTCAAGGGAGTAAAACCACGACCTGTCTCACAGGATTTTCAAACTGTTTTTACTAATCTTCTCAAGCAAAAGTAAAACACAGTTTACAACCACACAAGAGATTATCCTCCTAATCTCTATTCTAAGTAATACAAACTATTACTCAACGAGCCAAAGCAATGTCTGCATTGCCCACTATACTAACCCTCGCTGATTAATATAGACTTTAACGTAAGACACAAAGTTGCCCTCAACTAAGTTCTTACAGTGATTCACCCAAGTTTTGAAACGTTTCTAACACAAGTGAAACGAATCATACAATGTAAGCACAAATACAAGCAATCAAAATAACAGCAAGTTCAAGAAGCAAATCGTCAGTCTATGAGGTCCCTTGCTATTTTGTTGAAGCTTGAATATTCTCTCTTTGAATGAATGAGTGATGTGTTGTTTGTCTTATTGAATATATCAACCATAAAGAGTTATTAACCGTTGGACAAACAACCTCGTCCATTCTTATTGGTGTGGTACACTCATGACAACCTCACCAAACTCTGACGCGACAACTTTCCAGTTGTATAACACTTGGGCCTGGACGAGCAGACTCTGCAGAGGACCGGGTCCCTGCATTTGTGAGGAGATCATCAAAACATCCGGGAACAGTAAGAGGGTGTTTGGATTGGCTTAAAAGTTGGTCAAACCTTCTTTTAAGTCAGTTTTTGACTTCTGGAAGTATTTGACAAATATAAAAAATAATTTAAAATAAGTCAAAAATGACTTAAAATAAGTCAAAAATCAAAAGTAAGTCTCCCCCTACTTTTTATTTTTTGATTTAAAAGTCATTTCAGTTTGACTTTTAATTTTTACTAAAAAGCTATTTTTTTTAAGCCAATCCAAACAGGCTCTAAGAAGACTTCTCGCCTTGAGGGAGAAGGGAAACTACCGCTTCTAGAATGGAAGCTTTTCATCCTTTTTTTTTAAAAGCATATCGCTATTTTGAAATTTTATGAAGGTTTATAAATGAAGAAGTTAATCGGAATGAACAGTCATGATTACGGTTGCGGCAAGTGGAGATAGTTTGAAACTATCGATTACCTTTTGAATCAAAGTACAGTGACACGATTACTATAACTATTTAAGAGTTAAATGAGTTCATTTTATTGTTCATTATTTTTTTATGTCTTATAATATTTTAAATTATTAATTATTGTGACTTATATTGAAGTTAGAAATTGAGGGAGCATGTTCTGTGCTGCATTTGCATTGCGTTGAGTTGAAGGTTGAGACTCGGTTGGAGGGCCTCTTTCTGATTAGGTTTGGAGACCGAGGCATATACTGGACGTATAGTATTTTTTATGTAGTTTCAATATATATTTAAATTTTATTCTTAAAAATTTTAAAAGTTCTTTATCTGAAGTCGCAATTTTTTTAAAAAATAACTTGACTCTCGCGTACTTCGAATAGTGTTATGTAAAATAGGGCGAATGGAGTTAAATTGGCTTGGAAAATACCTTTTGGGCTTTAGAGGGAATTCAAATTTAATAGACTTTAATATAAATATCAAATATCGGACGAAAAGAATTCTTCAAACAACTAAGAATTATTATATTAAATTTTGAACTCAATCATTATTATTTATAAATTATCATATGAATTTATAAACTTTAAGTTCCGCACTTCTAAGTATTACAATATGCAACAAGATCACATAAATTAAGTTTCAGAAAAGTTGAATACTGAATAGAACTATTCTTGAATCGAGCATCCTCTATTAGAAATTAATTCACTATCTCATATAAAATAAGAATAAAATACATGTATAATATCTACTTGTTTTTATTTATTTAGATTTTAGTTCTAAGTTATACTAAATATATTATTATTGTTATTAAATAGTACAAGTTCATGTGAACTTTTAAAAACATAGCCAAAGACTATTATGATTATTGACGGAGTCACATACATGGATTCATATCCCCAAATCTTAAAATTATTTTTTGAAATTGAAATTTTGAAATTGAAAATATTTTTTGAAAACAAACTTAAAATTATTTTTTTGGGGGGTGGTGGTAGGGGTGAGGGTGGGGTAAAAATATTGAATTTAAAAACAACCTTTGGCAAATGTTTTCCTTAAGTTTTGAAGGGAAGTCATTTTTCCTTAAATTTGAGGAAAAATGAGTTGATATGGAAAACATTTTCCAAAACATCTAACCCAACCAAACATGAGAAAATTGGAAAACATTTTCCGGAAAATGTTTTTCTTCATACCAAACACACCCAAAGTTATTACTAATAATTAACGTATCATATAAAATTACGCGTTGACACTTTTCACCTTGATCAAGTCACGTTGGAGGGTAAGTGAGAACACTATTACCTGTACCTCCAGAAGACTATTATGATTATTGACGGAGTCACATACATGGATTCATATCCCCAAATCTTAAAAATTAGATCATGAAAAGTCCGACCTCTATATCCGCACCCATATCGGACGCCTACACTCGAGTCCGAGCAAGAAAGTACCACAAACTGTGCTTAGGGTTATCAATGACTTCCATTTCATGCATAGTAGGTTTTGGCCCCATTTTTTGTAATCTAAAAAGTTAAAGAAAGAATCAATTCAGTGCTAAAAATAGGGTAACTGTATGAAATGATTCAATTCATGCTTCCACACATATAGTAAAAAACATTGACTCTTTGCCTTTTCTCAACACTATTCATGGAAACATACTTGGTAGTTTTTCAAACCCTTCACTGTCGGAGGCGGATCTTGAATTTCAAGAATATGAGTGCATTATTAAAGACACGAGAAAAAAAGGTAGTGAGTGGGAACCAATTCTTGTTCCTTTAGATAAATAAATCAACATTATTTCAACTATAAGTTCAGCATTTAACGCTTTTGGAACATGAATGCTAACTGACAATATTAGATTAATTCTAAAAAATATATATATGTAAAATACCTAATTTGGTAGACAGACCATGAATTTTCGGGGCACCACTATTTTTAGAGTAGATCCACTCATGTTCTTAGTATATATGGTGATTGGGAGAAAGATATTTTTATTGGCACTCTGTATATGTGCTTCACCTTAATTATTAATTCGCTCAATTATACATGTACTAGGTACGATCCGTGTTTTGATGGTGCGAATAAATATTTTCTGATTGAAGTTGTGTCATGGTGGAGTAGGAGTGAACTATAACGATTGTTTTTCTTTTTTGTTAAAAAGGAAGAACAAAAAGGGGTTAACGAATAAGAAAATAAGGGCTTTAAAAGTACATATGCGAGTGGATATGGACGAATTCAAAATTTAAATTTATTTGCTACCTTTGTCAAAAAAAAATAAAAAATTATGAATTTTGAAATTTATAACCGATTAATAATATACTAATAAATTACTTATATACACGAGTTTAATTTACTTATTCTCTATTTTTCCCTACCTTTTTAAAAATATTACTTAAATCCCATCTTTCTCTTAATTTTAAAACTACCTGATACATAAAAGTCACCAGCCAAATCCACATTCACCACTCTCTTTTTCTCTTCTATTTTCTCTACCTAAATTCACTCCAAATTCTTAGCAGTTACAAAATCTATATCCAAATTTGATTTTCAACAAATTTAAACTAACAAAACATAAAAAATTAAAAAAAAATTAAAAAATTAAAACTAACCATACATAAAAAAAAAAAATTACGAAAAATGTTTTCCATAATACCAGATACAAACCTCGTTTCTTTTTCATATTTTGTTCATACTAATCACGTCCAATAACAGTAAAAATTGAATTAAAAGAGGTGTATTTCCTCTTTAATATGAATGGATTTGTTGGAAACACTTCCTTAATTAACTTTAGGCTAATTTTTAATTAGTTGCATATTATTTGGTAATAATTAATATAATATTTAGAAATTTTTCATAATTTGAGTTGGTTATGGACTCTAACAACTAATCATTCGTTGAAAATGATTAGGATTCTTGTATTATTATTTAATCTTCTCATTGTCTCATAATAATATTAGTTTCAATTTCACCAAAATTTCAAACAATCTAATATTTTCCTCTTTTTTCCTAGTGTTTTTCATAATCAAATTTCTTTAACGGATTGTGTTTGTTCATGTATCTAATTGATAACTTAATTCTTATTTATTGTGATACATTTATAGATACACTCTATTTCAGCTTACATACATCCTTCTTTCACAATCTTATTGTATCAGATACATTATTATCAACTACAAAATGATATATTATATAAAGTTATACATATCTTTCCAGGTAAATAAAACAATA